ACCCTGTGCTTCCCTGACATTAAAACTTTGTTGCATCACTACATTTGCCTAATGTTTTTTTCCTCACCTTTTCACCTACATCCCACATTGATTACGAAACAACATTGCCATGAAGCCAGCTGATGGATGCAAACTTTCTGTCTTAAATCTCTAAGTGACTGTCAGGCCCAATTCAGCTAAGAGCAGGAATTTGGAGCAGTAGAAAATGTGGCACCCTCTGGCACATTTCAGGGTTTGTGTTGCTGAAAGAATATTCTGTTTCCTGGCTATGTGCAATTATCTTTCCTCCTAGCTGTGGAGCTACATAAGATTGCTAACAAATTATCTAATTGTTTTCAAATTGAGCCTATTTCTTGAGTCATATTAATGTTTTGCTTGTAGCTGATGAGTTTCTTGTCAGCTTAAATAAATCACAGATTAAGATTCCCTAACTTCTTTAAATGCTGGAAACAAGAAATTCTTTAATTGGGTCAGGATCCTCTAAATTCTTTTTAATTTCCATCTCCAAGTGAACTGTTCATTAGAATCTTGTTATTGTCATTTTCGCCTTAGTTTTAACAAAGAGAAAAAAGGTGGATTTTCAAAGTGGGACAAGGAAACTATGACAGGGACATTCTGTGTTCTGTGTTCTGTCTTCTGTCTCTGCTAATAGTCGTTTTTCAGTTCATCCTTCTTGACTTTCCAAACATAAATGATCATGCAGTTCAAGGCAACGTATTAAACCCAATATCTTTGTTTGGTTCCTGATCTCCTTCATGTGTTTTCCAAGTAACATGGAATGGAGTAGAGCCAGATTTTAACACACCTTTAGCATCCAATAGACTTCTCTTGAAGTCTCACCTATTGCACTTTTTGCATTTCTACTCCCACTGATAGCTATGGAAAACAACACCACAAGGTGTTATTTCTGGTCTCATGTCACTCACCACTCATAAACTCTCTTGCAGACCCCAGTGATATAAGAACACATTATATTACCATATAAATGCAGCCCTTTGATGGGACCACAGTCAAAAGAAATTCCTAAAAGTTTCCTGGTGTTTAACACTGCCAGTTCAAGGTGACAAATCTCTGAAATCAAATAGTTATTTGGTTGATTTTTGATCCCCAAAGAAATGTATTTTTATATTGGATTGCATTCTTTAGGCAGTCTTGATAACGTATTTAGGTTGCCTAAACCTCAGACATCTCCAGGGACCCGTGATAATTCCTAAAAATTTATTCTGAATGAAATATGGTGACAGAATGGATGAAGAGACTCCTTCAGAAGAGAAGAGTTGGGCTAAACCATAGAGTGTAAAACAAACCTGAATTTCCATTCTTCAGTGGACCATGTCTCATCCCTTACACTTTTTCCCACCCACCAGAGATAATATTGAGGAGCCTGACCTCTTCTGAAAAGGTCTTGTACATGTGGCACTTAAAACCTCATCTCCCTCACTAACATGAAATGAAACAGCTGCACTGATGAAAAATTATTTATCTGAGGGTTGTCTGGCAACTTCTGTTTGCTATCTGTTCATACACCAGCTCAAAGTGTTGAGTCATCAGCACTGGAAACCTCTGTGCCCCACGAAGAAGCAATGCTGAACTGTTTTGTGTGCTTACATTTTAAATGCTTCCTTCATTCAACCATCCTTTTCACAACACCTTTATTACTTAAGCAATTAGTATTATATTACCATAAAAACACATAATTGTTGCTCACAGGCTTATGTAAGCAGCTCTAGGAAGCTTAATGCACTAGTGGAAAGGATAGGACCAAAATGGTCTTGTGGACAAAGAAAAGCTGAACAAAATTTTATGATGCAGGAGAATTTTAATGCAAACAGGAAATGGGATGCATTTCAGAATGAGATGACACACAACACAAAGCAGACACTTCCTCAGTTCCAGAAAAGAGCACAGCATTCACTGCCTACTAAGAGTCCATTTTCCACCAGTTGTTGTCCTCCTGTCCCAGTTTCATTGACAATCTCTGTGTCAGGCCTTTCAAATGATTTTCTTTTCTTACACTGACACAATGAAAACAGGGATCTAGCATTGTTAGGTGATTGACAGAAGCTGACATTAATAATAGACAAAGTAAAAAGTACAAGAAAGAGGTGTGGACCAAGTATTCAGAGGTATTAAGCAAGGGTGGCTCCCATTGATGCAATGGGCTTTCGCCATCTCTGAAAGCCAGCCCCAGCTGCAGATCTGGATCTTGTGTTTTCTCCTCCTAAGTTGTCTCATGGTTTGCAGGTGTTCAGGCTGCCTTAAAATGAGCCACAGTTTCCAAGGCGGGATCCACGGCTGCTGCTGTAGGACTTCCTGCTGTAACAACCCCCCATCCCTGAGGAGCCTCCAGGTCCAAAGGAACCCCCCATTCCTGACATGCCCCCAGAACCAATGGAACTCCCGATCCTATAGGAACTCCCAGAGGTCAAAGCTCCAGAGGGCTGGGGAAATGATGTTCCCACAACGCTTTCCTGGGGGCAGCTGTTGAGAATCGGGCCAGGGAACGTGAGGACAACTGGTGGGGCGTACACCACGGCTCTGGAGTCCCCACATGATACCACACAAGGCCCAAGGCTGCTGCTGTAGGCACAGGGCTGTGGGCACGTAACCTCACAGGCAGGCAAGCACCGGGAGCTGATGTTGCAGGACATTGTTCTCAGGGTTTGAGGTGAAGCTGGGAAAGACAACATGTAGTCAGGAAATCATCACAGTCAGGTGCCAAGCACTGCCCATCACACATGTGACAGCAATGGGTCTAGATGGGTAGATAGATCCTTGTTCATGCTTCCTATTTTACCCTCAAGACCTCCTGTCCTATGATCCCATTTCTTCCCTCCTTCTTCCCCACTGTGGAAGATTCCTAGGACTTTGTTTATTCATAGAATGGTTAGGGTTGGAAAGGGCCTTGAGATCATCTAGTTCCAACACCCATGCCATGAGCAGGGACAATTCAGTAGGGTTTAGCTTTATATTTGCACTTCAAGTTTTAAAAGACATAAATAAAAATAAAATAACTCTTAAAATTCTATCTCTCAGTAGGTAGTCTACAAATCTCTACAAATACTACTGTCTACAAATGCTGCAGTGAGTCTCCTATGAAAAGTAAGATTTCACTGCAACATCTTGCCTTTCTGCTAAAATCACAAATACAGACACAAGAAAGAGTCTTCATTTAAAACTATCACTACAGAGACATGTCAGATTCAAAATTATCAGCTTAAATCATACTCACCTAAAGCACCAAGACGGGTAAGTCAGGAGAAGGTTTTAGGAGACTCATGAGATGTTTCTGCTTTTATACCTTTTAGCAGGCAACCATCTCATAAAATCTCTAACCCTTACTAAACGATGGGGTTTCTTTCCTGGGTGACTCCTCTAATAACTGTAATTATTTTCATAGATTCTAATTAATAAATCACCCACAGACCTACACAATGTGACTTTCATATAATAAACTTGGGCTTTCTATTGTGTTGAAATTATACAGCCAAATTTCTATGCAATATAATTTTGCTGACTACACAGGAAACTGGTTGAACACTCCTTACAATTTTTTGGCCTGCAAAAAGGGGCTCCCAAAAGATCAACCCTACAAATCTGCTTTCAAGAATGGCCTGACCCTGATGCTGAGCAACCGGAGATAATTTTGAAGTTCAACCTCACTTCTAGGTTTGAGATCCACCATGGAGTAAAAAGACCTGGTAATATTCAGGTATGCCCTTTCAGTGGCCCCACTGGCATCCTCATCACAAGGCTCTAGGCGTAACATCCCAGAATGAATTTTGGTACATGGATAAAATTACTCAGAGGGCTCAGAGTTTCAAGGAGATGTCATGTGTGACTTCAATCCCAGTTATGTGTGTTTTGAAACCTTTTGCAGGGCCTTGTCTTGCTCAGTGCTCTAGAATCATTTATGAGACCTCATTCTGTCATGGTGCCATATCATCCATTTGGTCAATAGATACAGGTGCGGCTGCAAAGAATGCTGACCCCCCAGTCCAAGGTGGGGTTGGGCAATTCCATTTGGGAGGTATTATACCTAAACCTAAGGCTTACAAATAAACTGTGGGACTGACACACCAGTATGCCACCTTCCTGAAAGACATTACAGAGAAGCAATCAGAGAGATCAACTCCTCTCTTGATTGAAACCAGAATGAAGCCAAGAGGATTTTTTCACTAAGTTTGAGACAAAAGGAAACTGCTGAGTGTTGGATGCATGTCACTCAAAGTAGGGATCACTAATTACAAATTGAAATTAAAACAATTACAAGGCTTAGAAGAGTATCTTTTTCTTGGTAAGTGACAAGAATTTAGTGAATAATAGGTGACCTCATAGCTTTCCTATTGCCTAAGAAAATGTATAAAAGGGTAGAGAATGAAGAAGTCTTCTATTCCTTCAGCTCTACTGACATTCCTCCAAGGCAGCAGGGTAAGTCCAACTTCATTGCACTTCTTCATAGCAATACAATACTTAAAACTTCTTTTCTATCTTGCAAAACGTTAGCAATCTTTTGAAAAGTCAAGGCAAAGAGAAGAACAGATTTAGCAAGAACTTGTAGAAAAGTTAGGGAAAGGGAAGAACAGAGCAAGGAAGATTCTGTTACTTTCCTCTGGAGATTTTCTGAAGTTACAGGCAAATCTTCCTGTAGATCTGTTTTGAAAAGAGGATGAATGGGACTTTTCTGAACAAGTAATTGTATAAGAATCAGGTAATTTACTCACCGAGAAAAAAGCAATATTATTCGCGATTTGGAAGAGTAAGGGATATAGATGGCACACAAAGGAAGAACAGAGAAACTCTAAAAGGGGTTAGTCAGGAAGGAAATAGCAGGGAAAATGGAGACTGTGAGGAAAGGTTGAAGTGTGTGTTGATTATTAGCTGGAGGAGAAGAACAAGGTGCACCTAGCTCATACTGAGAACCTGTTGGCACCTGACTGTGATGGTTTCCTGACTGCATGTTGTCTTTCCCAGCTTCACCTCCAGTCTCGAAGAATGATGAACAACATTACCTCTGAATGCTTGCCTGCCTGTGAGATAACATGCCCACAGCCATGTGCCTACAGCAGAAACCTTGAGCCCTGTGTGGTGTCATGTGGAGACTCCAGAGCCGTGGTGTATGCCCCACCAGTCGTCCTCACGTTCCCAGGCCCAACTCTCAACAGCTGCTCTCAGAACAGCATTGTGGGAACCCCATTTCCCCAGCCCTATGGTGCTTTGACCCAAAATGGCTCTGATGAGTCCTATGGGATGGGGGGTTCCATTGGTTATGGAGGCTCCTCAGGGATGGGGATTTCCTTTGGTTCTGGGGGTTCCTTTGGTTCTGGGGGCATGTCAAGGATGGGGGGTTCCTTTGGAGGCTCCTTTGGATCTGGAGGCTCCTCAGGGATGGGGGGTTGTTATAGCAGGAAGTCCTACAGCAGCAGCCGTGGATCCCGCCTTGGAAACTGTGGCTCATTTTAAGGCAGCCTGAACACCTGCAAACCATGAGACAACTTAGGAGAAGAAAACACAAGATCCAGATCTGCAGCTGGGGCTGGCTTTCAGAGATGGCGAAAGCCCATTGCATCAACAGGAGCCACCCTTGCTCAGTGTCTCTGAAAACTGGGCCCACACCTATTTCTTCCATGCTATGCCTCAGCAGTTTCACATGATGGCTTCTTTCTTTAAAGTCTTATTACTCTTGTTCTGTGTCCTTTCTGGTGGAATGGGGATGCTTCAGAATTTGCAAGTGAGACTTTGCTGCAATGATCTCAGCTTTTTCTTGTAATGTGCAGTGCCTTTTATCAACAACATGGATGGTTTAGCTGCCTTAGGACTATGGAATAGACCATTAATGAACTATTCTATGCTGTAGCTCTTCATGTCATATTAAAGTCTTGTTGAACCATATTACCAGCTATCTGGTTTTTCTTTTCTTCCATTTTGCCTTACAAACTAGTTTTAGTCAAATTGAACTCAGTGGGAATCAAAATAGGAGGTAGAGCTCCATGTATTTATATACATGAGAAGTAGAATTCAATACTCCAACGACCGGGTGTATGAAAGCACCTATCTCACTGTTCTTCCTGTGTCCAGAAGTATTTATACTCATTTTAGTGGCTGAGCCTGGAAGGAGTCATTCCCAAGTACTCATTTTAATTTGAGAACATTTTGGGTAATGTGCTTTGCATAGGATAAGTAGTAGTTGTGCCTACATTCAGCTTCATGTGCAGTATTGCACTTGCTCAGTACTAAGAGGATCAGAGTCAGCAATTTTGAGGCCGAGCCAGGAAAGTCTATGTAAACTGTCATACACATGGCTTCAGCAAATGTGATGTCTCACAGTTTACAAAGGAGAGTTACACCTCCACATAATACTTATTCAATAGGCTGAGGAATTAAACATCGAGTAATGGGAGTGAAAATTGCTGGGACATTGCTGCCACAATCTTTTCGGCAGTGTGCTGGAGCAAAATCTGATGTTCCTAGCTGAGACTAGAACAGGAGTCACAATAGCTAAGTAGCTGCTTTGGTACTTTGGGATCCCAGTGTGTACACACACATCTCTACACATGTCTTCAAGCAGCTGAGAATACCAATTCTGCACTAGGAGAAAGAATTTATACCCAAATAAGAGCAATTTTGCGTTTTCAATGATCACAATATATATTATCACTTAAGTCTGTGGATTATGGTCCAACTAGCAGAACATCATTGCTTTGCCTGATATGTGTCTTGTAAAATAATGTCATTACCTCTGGGCGATACAATTCAAGCAATATACTGTTAATGTTATGGTGCAGCCCATTGCTGCATAAACCTGCAAATATGAGTAGAGCTAGTTGAACATTTCTCCTAAGATTTTCTGGTTGAAATTCCTGTTTCACCAAAAGACTTGCAGACATATTACCTTATGTGTACAAGATATCAGTGAAAACTCCAACAATTTAAAACCAGATGCAAAGTTCTGGTGGAAGAATCTGTTTCTTGGACAGTTCTGGCAATGACTATGCATGAGACACTTTGTGATTCTTAATTTGAGAGAGCATGTAGCTGTCGCCTGAGGGAGCCCATGGTGATGCTTAACTACCTCAGATCATTTATGGCATAAATGCTTCAATTAAGTTAACAAACCACAAGGATTAATACAATCAAAGGAAGGAAATTAATGTTATGCTTGGCACAGCAGCACTTGTTCAGCCTACGCAGGAGCCCTCTCTTTTCATCAACAGCATCACAATGGAAACGGCTCCTAAAGAAAAACATTGACACAGCTGCTGGGGTGAATTTCCCAGCTTCAAGGCACATCACAGAACGCAAGACTTGTAGTCTGATTCTCAGTTGCATACAGATAACTTCTTCCCATTCCTTTTGTCTCTGCCTCCCAACAGTACTCAGATCTAGGCTAATCCATTTCCTTTTGCAGTCTGTAATCAGACTATTTTACCACCAAGATTAGACAAATCAGAGCATATGTTTGCCTTCTGAGAGAGTCAGAACCCAAGTAGTCATTTCAACCACTGCTGAGGATTAAAACAATTTCCTTCGGGATGTTCAAGGAAAGACTGGTAATGTTCTTGAGTGACTGACTTAGCTTCAAAGTTACCTTGGTTTTGAGAGGGAACTGTACCAGATAACTCCAGAGATGGAGACTGAATACCATGCTATATATCAGAAGGGGAAAAAAGCACTTTATTGAAAGATTTCTGACAAATTCTGTGGGTCATACAGAAGAATTAATTCTTTTCTGATGATAGTCCTCAATTAATGTTAACTTTGTTCAAACCAATTTGTAACTATGAAACTACAGTGAAATAAAAGCCAGAAGATGGTGCTATGATGCAACAGGGCTTTAATACAAACAAAGACCAGAATACTTTCTTGCAGAATGCGGCAAGGAAGAGACAAAGAATGCAATTTCCATTTCCAACAAAGGCTACAATCAATCAATCATTCAGAGGAGCACAGTGCTCACAAGATGTTCTTCTTTCAGCTGGATGCTTTCACAGTCAAATTCCCTTACTTGGTTTACCCTCTTCAGATTCAGAAAGAACAAAACATAACATGAGCAAATGACAAAGTGAGGCAACATTGGGACCATAAGCCTTAGATAGAGCACAATGAGATCCCAAGCAACCCCAGCTCCTCTGACATAGGCTGGAGCAGAGGCTGCTTGGCATGTCTGATTTCCGGGTCTATATGTCAGCTACTAGCCTGTATCTTGCTGTTTCTCCAGTCATTAATCTTTCTTAAAGATTTAAAATGGTCCATAGTTTCCATAGCGATACCTATAATACCCTCTGGAAAAAAAGGGGGAGTAATATCTACCATATCCTGAAAAATACGAGTTTCGGTAAAAGCTTCCCAGACGGGAGAGTCCACCACCACATGAGCCCTCCCCACCATATGAGCCCCCTCCTATGCCACCACAAGAACCTCCTGAACCGTGAGAGCCCATCCCATAAGAGCTGCCTCCACCACAGGAACCACCAGAGCCCACTCCTCCACCTCCGGAGCCCATTCCACCTCCGGAACCCATTCCTCCACCTCCAGAGCCCATTCCACCTCCGGAACCTATTCCTCCACCTCCGGAGCCCATCTGACCCTCAATTTCAGGCATGGCAGTTCCCACAAAACTTTCTTGAGGGCAGGAGCTGATAATGGGTCCTGGGAAAGTCACAACAACAGGCGGCGCATACACGATTGCTCTTGAGTCTCCACACGAGCTGACACAAGGTTCATTCCAACAGTTGACATATGGTTGTGGGCACGTTACTTCACATGGCTCAGCACAGCGCGAGCTAATCATCTGTCCATAGGAAGACATCTTTGCAGAAAGCAAGCCAACCTGAAAGGCAGAGAGTGCACTGGTCTGGTAAAGTTACAGGCAAAGGAGTGGAAGAGCAAATCGTTATAGTAATGTGGAATGTGTAGAAGTGTTGAATGGTATTCATCTGAACAGATGCAGATTCACAGGTCTGAGTTAACTACACTAAACTTCTTAGAATCATAGAATGATTTGGGTTGGAAAGGACCTTAAGATCATCTAGTTCCAACCCTCATGTCATGGCCAGGGGGATTGGACCCTTACACTAGACCAGGTTGCTCCAAGCCCCATCCAACCCAGCCTTAAAAACAGTAGGGATGGAGCATTCACCGTTTCTTTGGGCAACCTGTTCCAGTGCCTCACCACCTTAAAACTTAAGAATTAGTGATTAAGAAAGAAAAAATAATAACAATTTCTAAGGCACAATACATTCCATTCTGAAGTGGACTTATGCATTACAGATATCACCAACCAAGTGAGATAAATTACTGGGTAGACGTTTCTGAGTCTACTCCCTTTGCTTTCTAGTGCTCCATTGCCCTGTAGTCCATTCCCAAAATGATTTCTGGGAAGAATGCCTCTCCTTCTTTTTCTCACATCATTGCCTTTGCTGTATTTTTGTCTGTGAGTCAGTCCCAGCAATACGTCCCAGTCCCTACTCTGATAGTTTCTGGGGTATCCTGTCTCCATAGATAGATACTCAATTCCTAGGAATTGCTGCTATCTACGTTTTTGGAACTCCCTTTCCTTTTTCCCCCCATGCACGTGGCAATGTTTGTATCCACTCTATTTAAAAGTTACAGTTCCCAAGTAAAATTATTTTTATACAATAAGGTCCTACCATTAAATACAGTAATAGGATATATAACCTCATATTAATGCTACCTATAAATCCACATCTATAATTATGAACTGATTCAGTTAAATCAGACTTACCCAGCCACCAAGAAGAGTAAGTCAGCAGAGGCAGCTACAGAGATCTGAGTTACAAGCACTTTTATATGCTGTCATAGAGAAACTGGGAGATACCTTTACGCAACCATTCTCTACACCTTGTGAAACAGAATGTTTTCCCCTGGTGATGCCTGCCTTTGTTGCAACTGTTTTGATAACAGCTTATGATTATTAGATAAGTTATAATCCCATATGGCATGATGCACATGTCTTTTTGCTGAAAATCTCACAATAAATTGAGATTAGTTTTCTCTTAAATACTTGTTAATACCTGTGAAGGTACCTCAGAGATGGACAAACTGCATGCTGATAGTAAGCACAGGATTCCAGATTATCATTTGTCATTTCAGGTAATAATAACCAGTGGCCTTCTGGATTTTTCCTCTTTATAGGTAGGACATCTTTATACATTAAATAGCCACTGGTGTCCATGGCCACTGGGTACTCATTCCAGGGGATTTGGGACTGGAGTTTATGGCTTGGGACTGTCCTTTGGACAGATGTTCTCCAACAAGACTATACCATGTCCAAAGTGAGTAGAAATTAAGAGACACAAAAGCAATTCACAGACTCTCCTGTGAACACTAGGATCAGGCACAATAATCCAATCAGAATCAGCACCTGTCCAAAGTTTTACAATTTATCATCAGTTCCTCATCCCAATGAATCACCCCTTCCAAGGTGCCTTCAGAATAAACAACAAAACCCCATTAATAACTATGAATTCCCCTTTCTGAGAATGCTTGTTGGAAGCCAATATGAGGAGAGGAAAAATATATATCACCTGTGGGACTAGAGGATCCAGAGGGAACATCACCTGTAATACAGGTCCATAAACTCAGCTAGAATAAATTCACAAGGCCTCAAAAATGCTGATACTGTGATTCACATGATCATGTTTACGTGAAAAAAACCCCAACCCTCTTATCTGTGTTCTTGTGATAAATTATCAAAACTGAAGCTAAAAAAACCAAATAAACTCCAAAACCCAGGTAATCTATTTAAATTTCATGACCACGAAATCACCATAATGACCAGAGGAATGTGTGCAGCCAATAGAGATGTGACAGCAAGCTGGACAGAATAACATGACTCACATAATTTGTGGGAACGAGAAGTAATTAATAATTACAGCAATTGACAGCTAAAGCAATTAAAGGAGTTACCAAACCAAATAGTTTTAAAAAGTTAATAAGGATCTCATTGTTTTTGAGGTTTTCCAATGAAAACTTGTTCAAAACACAGCTTCTTAATTGACACTGAAGAAAATCACACTGGCTTGAGCATCCACAGTTTTCTTGCTGTAACTGATGCTTTTCCCTGGCAGCTTTAAGGGGAATTCAGGTTTTACATAAGGTAGAAAGCCATAAAGGCAGGTACAGGCTTTCAAGCTCAAACTGTAACCCTCATACTCTCCAGATATCCTTTCAAAAATGTAAGACAGAAAATGCAAGAATGTAATTGGCAATAGTCCAACATCCCATTTTACAACACCTCAACCTCAGCTGCATTACATCACTGAAATCTTTTAAAGAGAGAGAAAAAGATACCCTCCCTCACCAGGTGAAAGCAAAATACTTCTGAAAACAGGAAGAAAAAACATCAGGGATTTTGTATTTTTCCCTAAAAGTCTGTTGTTTCATATATAGAGCCACATATATAAACTAGCAGTCTGGCCTGGCTGAGGGATCTGAGGCTTGGTGTCTACAGCTTTAGATTTAAGCTGACCTTACATAAAACAGCCCTGAAGCATTATCTGAAAGATGTCGCATTTTTTCTACCATGTTGTTGTTGTTGTTGTCAGCTTTATTGATTTTTCTGGTTTTAGAAATCCCAAGCCTGATCCTTACCCAGCTGCTTTGCATACAAAGATTAAATCTTAAAGAGGAAGCTGATTTAATTGCTACTTCTCTCACCTTTGCTATGCTATAATTTTCTAAATTGGCTCCCTTGTCTGAAAGGAAATAGCTTATATTGTTATCACAGATTGGAGGAAAACATTATCCTTAACCTTCATTTTTCCACAGATTTTATCACAGCAATTCCAGGTAGATAGTGCTTGTAAGAGAATAACAAACAACACCATGCAGGCTAAAATATATGAATCACTGTGCAGGAGTGCAAACTTAAAGCAGCTTTGGATCCTGGACATCCACATCTGTGCATAGGTTTCCAGTGTGGTCTAAGAGCTGACACGTGTTTCCAAAACTGCTCAAACTGGAGGGTTGATATTACTGAGTGCTTCTTCATGCCTAATGGCAAGACTGAAGATGAAATAAGGAACTGAAGGACTAGATCAGCACTGTATGCTCTTTCACTCTCTGTATAGTCAGTGCTATTATATTGCTCAGACCATAGCAGTATCTCAGTTTTGTACTGTCATATTCATTGTTAGTTGTGCATTACATTTACTTGATTCCTTTTGTTCAATCGTATTAAAAAGAATAATAATCTGTTGATTTGTTGGCAGCCCGTGTTTGGAGTTGGAGATGGTTAAGTATAGGAAACATTGTGACTGTGGGCCAAGCAGAGCACAAGACAACAGAGAAAAATAAGAAAAAGAGTCTAGATTGATGACAAAATTTCTAGTTTTCCAGAAAAACTGATGTTTCCACCAGTTTCCAAAATTGGAGAAACTTCATTTCTTCTTAAAATCACACCCACATCTGACTACCATGTGTCAGGTTTTATATTTATAACAATCTTCCCCAGTTACCATTTCTTAGAACCTTGGTTGTGTAACTATGTGGTTGCCACAGGAGAAAGGAAGATATATGGGGTAGATTCAGTTCCAGATTGAGATAGCCACACTTGGGTGTCTGAAAATACATATCTCAGTTTCTTTTACAGACAACAGACAAGTTTGGTGGAGCCTGGAGATCTATCCATGCATTCATCTTTCCATAAATGCTTGCATTTCATCAACTGAGCAGTTCTGCCATCTATTTGAAGTACTGTCTAGTTGTCCCTTGGGGCCCTGGAAGTTTAGAAACCCCATTGATATGCAGACCTTGTTCAGCCACCACTGAGTAGTCTAAGATAACTGGTACTAAGATGATTTTCTTCTAGTTTTTGCCTTTTTCACACTCCTCACTTTCAGCAGAATTCACCCTGATCCTAGGGGAAATTCATAGTCAGTGACCCCAGTCTACTCACGTCCCATTTGAATCCTGAATACCTACTTTCATCTTTAAGTATTTTATGGCAAAATGCAGCTCTCATTATAATATGGGTTTCCTCTCTTCTGGATAGGTTTGGTATGTTTTCTAGCTACAGTGCAACAAAAGGTAGTGATTAAATAATTATACACACAAGTAATTCTGAAGCTGAAGAATTCTTTCCCGCCACTAAATGAGATTTGCTCAGAGCTCAGGAATAATTACACTGCTGAAATCTTAATGGGCATCTTTCATCTCAAAAACAAAACAGAACTAATATTCTTTAATAAATGAGTCCTGTCCTCCTTAACAAAACCTGAGGGTATGTGAAATTGCAGCCCCAGGCATAACTATAGCTTGCATCTATATGTATAATTTAGCTCTGTATGAAAGCTGGCCAACCTATACCTCTCATGCTGCACACAACATACCCATCACCCAGGCATGTTTTCCAGGTCAGACCTACCTTGCTTGACCAGCAACAGGGTTGTAGGATGTGGAGGGCTACTGGGTCATCTGAAGTCCCCAGGTGTGGGAAAGGCTGATGTAGCAACATTGACAAGGCTCCTGGGTTGCTTCATAAATCAGCCAAGCCCAGTACTGCCCCACTCCACCTCACCCTGCAAGACCCAGACTCTGAGGAGGAGACTTGTATCTTTTGCTTTGTGTGTGAGTTGCTGCAAAGTGGTGAAGGACTTCAGTAAGAACCAAGAGGTTTGTAGAGGCAAGAAGGACATAGTGATGGGCGCTTATTGGAGTGGTAACTGTGTATTTAAAGACAGCCTGGAATAGCACATTTGTACTGTGATGAAGTGGCATGGAGGTTAGTTCAGCCTTCTTAAAGTACCAGTATGGTAGATATGTCAATAGACCTGCTTTTTAATAAGG